GCGGCTGCATGCTGCTGCTGCAGACAGGCTGCTGCTGCTGCTGCAGCTGCACGAGCTATACACCTTTCCTCCTGCTGCTGCTGCTGCAGCAGCAACTGCAGCAACTGCAGCAACAGCAGCAACAGAACAAATTACAGATATGAAAGAGAAAAGAGAAGAAGGGGAAGAGGCCCACCAGGAAGCAAGCCAGCAGCAGCAGCAGCAGCAGCAGCAACAGCAGCAACAGCAGCAGCAGCAGCAGCAGCGGCATGGTTTATTCCGTCACCGGGTAGGAAAATGGTACAACCGTTTGCAGGTGCTGCTGCTGCAGCATCTGCAGCAGCAGCAGCAAGCAGCAGCAGTAGGAGTGAGGTGTATAAGAGAAGGAGACATAGTAAGAACAGCAGAAAGACAAGAGGTATCGAGGAGACTAATAAAGGCTGCGCTGTACATACACCGCAAACGCATAGCCACGAGCTGGCAGCAGCTGCAGCAGCAAGCCATCGAACAGCAGCAGCAGCAGCAGAAGGTGCTGCAGCAGCAGCAGCAGCAGCAGCAGCAGCAGCAGGAGGTGCTCTGTGATACGGACAGCAGCAACTCCGATGCTGCCAGCAGCACTAAACCAAAACCCCGCAGACGCAGGGCTGCATGCAGCAGCAGCAGCAGCAGCAGCGACAGCAGCAGCACGAGCAGCAGCAGCAGTGACAGCGACAGTGACAGCAGCAGGAACCGCAGCAGCAGCAGCAGCAGCAGCAAGAGCCTGCATGCAACGCGCAGCAAGCGACCCCCTCCTCGTCCTCCGCCCCGAAAGCGTCGTCGAGCTGTCAATGCACCTGAGAGCAGCAAGAACAGCAGCAGCAGCAGCAGCAGCAGCAGGACCAGCAGCAGCAGGAGCAGCCCGCGCGGTGCACAGAAACAACAGCAGCAGCAGCAGCAGCAGCAGCAGCAGCAGCAGCAGCAGCAGCAGCTGGAGGAAGAGTATGAATTTTTGCGTGTCTTACCTGTAGACGTGCATGCATGTGTATTGGATGCATACAAAGAGGAGCAGCAGCTGCAGCAGGAGCTGCCTGTATGTGTGGTGTCTGCGCGTCCCCTTGCTGCAGCAGCAGCAGCAGGCCGCAGCAGCATCTTCGTTGGCTGGGACGCTCAGCTGCTGCGGGTAGAAGAGCTCGCGCTGCAGCACTATAAACTAGCGGGGGGCTGGCGGGGGCACCACGATGAGGGAGCAGCAATACGCAGCCTCTTTCTTATTCTTACTGCTGCAGCACAGCAGCAGCAGCAGCAGCAGCAGCAGCAGCAGCAAGGGGATTGCCTCCTCATGGGCAGGATTATGCAGACAAACACGCACCAGCAGCAGCAGCAGCTGCTGCAGCAGCAGCAGGAGGGGGGAGGTGCAGCAGCAGACAGAAGCATTGCTGTTGCTTTTCTCCCAGCAGCAGATCCGACGGAGCAGCAGCTGCTGCCTATAGAGCAGCAGCAGCAGCAGCAGTTGCTGCTGCAGCAGCTGCAGCACAGCAGCAGCAACCAAGTGCATGCACTCTTCAAACAAGCTGTTGCTGCGGTGTATGGGCAGCAAATACGCGGCGTGTCTTGGGGCTGGGAGGCGTCAGTGGGTACCCCCTTGCTGCAGCAGCAGCAGCAGCAGCAGCAGCAGCAACAGCAGCAGCAGCAGCAGCAGCAGCAGAAGCGGCAGCAGCAGAGCAGTCTCCTGGATGATGAACTAGACGATGATATAGCAGACGAATTAGAAGATTGTCTGCT